TGCTTGCTGGATTGTAATTAAAAATTGCTAATAAGAGCTGAAAAGTAAACTCTGATAAGAATTGGGACAGTGATAACAGGAATGTTTATAATGTTAAGAAGGAAGTCAACATAATATCAACACCAATCAAGAAGATCAACATCTGACCAGGAAACGGAGATGGATCCAGGATGGAAGTCGTATGCTTTAAAGGCACTGAAAAGTCGTTCGTGACACCTTCATGTCCTCCTCTTAATGATGACCACTGGGTGATCATCACTAAGAAGGGTTTTTGGAAAGTCCATGTTCCTTCTGCAGAAAAGAGGGCTCTTATTGTCCTTCAATCCTAATGATCTTACGATGGATCTTTCTTTCCGTTTGGTGGTCCTCTTCCCTTTTCTGCTTGAAGGTTCTTCTTGGTTGTTCCCGTTAGGTTGTTCCTTTTTCTTGCCAAGCTCCTCCTAGGTCCCATCCACACAGCACTATAACCCAGAATATCAAGTCAGCTAATTCACAATAATCTGCTTCGAACTGGGTTATTATTATTATAATAATTATTATTATTATACATTTATATCCCACCCTACTCACCCCCATGGGGGACTCAGGGTGGCTTACAATCCATGGCATACAATGCCACATTACACATATAATAATAAACATAACATATGAATTTAAACAATTAACACATCAATTTAAACATACAATAGTAAACATGAGATAATAATTCGAATATAAATACAATAACAAGCTTAGAAGTAATTCAAATAGAAATACAATAAAAAAGCTTAAAAGTAAACATAGGTAAAGGTAAAGGTAGTCCCCTGACATTAAGTCCAGTCATGTCTGACTCTGGGGTGTGGTGCTCATCTCCATTTCTAAGCCAAAGAGCCAGTGTTGTCCGTAGACACCTCCATGGTCATGTGGCCGGCATGACTGCATGGAGCGCCGTTACCTTCCCGCCGGAGCGGTACCTATTGATTTACTCACATTTGCATGTTTTCGAACTGCTAGGTTGGCAGAAGCTAGGGCTGACAGCGGAAGCTCACGCCGCTCCCCGGAACCTGCGACCTTTTGGTCAACAAGCTCAGCAGCTCAGTGCTTTAACCCACTGCGCCACCAGGGGGCCCCCAAAGTAAACATACAATAATTCAAATATAAATACAAAAAAGGGCTTAAAAGTAAACATTGTTCCAACCAAAGTGGGCTGATGGAAAAAAGTGGTCTGAAGCAACAGGAGAGGCAGGGGAACCCCGAAAACGAGCGCCCGCACAGGTGTTCCAATGTCCAAATGATGGGCGGCATGGCTATGGAGGCACCCGGTGCAGGTATTCCGGCAGCCGGGCAATGGGTGGCGCAGCCATTAAAGTAGCAGCATGGCGAGGTTGCAGGGGCCATGTTATCTGAGTCCACATTGCCATATAATCCAGTTTAGTGTGGATTGTATACAGCTATGTGGAAGGGGCCATAGAAAGCTGTTACTTAAGTCTACTGTTAGTAGGTTAGTCGCTTCTGGTCACTTCTGGAGTGCAACAGAAGAATGGCCTGCCTCAGGGGAGCGTGCTTGCTCAAATGTTCAACATTTACACAAATGTAATAGGCAGTAAGAGCACCTAGAACTTCTGTTCGACCATCTCAAAGCTCCCTGCTTGAGCAGTGATGGCACGATCATCAGCGTAGATGAAACTCTCTCTCCCTTCTGGCAACGGCTGGTCATTATAGTTGCTGATGATTTACTAGCTGTGCTAAACCTCCGGCCCTGTAAGTAATGAGGTTTTTTGTTTCCTTTTTGGGTCCAGGCGGCGATGAGGACGAAGACGTGTTTTCCCCAGAGTCAATTAGGCCTGAAGCAGGAAGAGAGGGATTGGGAAGTGAACCAAGTGTCCAAAGGAAAGGAAAGAAGAAGTCATCAATTTCTCAGAGGAACGAGAATAGCGAAACCCAGGACCCTCCAGAACGTCACCACCAAGTGTGTCCTGTCTGCGGGAAATTCTTCAGATTCAAATCTCAGTTCATCATCCATTGGAGAGTCCACTCAGGGGAGAAACCCTACAAATGCACAGAATGTGGGAAGAGCTTCAGCCAGCTCTCATATCTACATTCGCACCAAAAACTCCATTCGGGGGAGAAACCCTATAAATGTACGGACTGTGGGAAGACCTTCATCAAAAGCTCTGCACTTATGGTCCACGCAAGAGTCCATACGGGGGAGAAGCCCTATCAGTGCTTGGAGTGCGGGACGAGGTTCACCGCGAACTCTGCCCTTTTAGTGCATCAGAGGAAACACACCGGAGAGAAGCCGTACCAGTGTGCCGTATGCGAGAAGAGCTTCAACGACGGTGGTGCCTACAGCAATCACTTGAAAATCCATACAGGAGAGAAACCCTTTCAGTGCTTGGTCTGCGGGAAGAGCTTCCTGAGGAACTATGCTCTTGTGGTGCACCAGAAGAAGCACACTGGAGAGAAACCGTATCAGTGCGCAGAATGCGGAATGAGCTTCCGGGTCCGTAGCACGTTGCAAGTACACCTGAGAACCCACACCGGGGAGAAGC